CCGGGACGCGAACCGCGGTCGACTACATGGGAGTCCAGTGACATAGCCATTACGCTAACTGCTGGTCCCTGTTTTTAAATTTTTTTTTAAGAATTATTTTATTTAACTTTATTTATTATTATTCTTATTATTACTTTCCAGTTTGTTCAGACAGAGAGGGGAAGAGAGAGAGAAAGTGAGAAAGCAAGCCACCAGATTCAGGGCTTGAACCGTGGTCAACCATGTGGGACTCCAGGGCCTTTAACCACCACGCCACTTGCCGGCCCCTTATTATGTTTTTCATTTGACCAGCGAGAAAGAGAAAGGGAAAGTGAGAAAACAAGCCACCAGGTCCAGGTTGAACCAATGTTGAGCCATGTGGGAGTCCAGCATCTTAACCACCACATCATCTGTCGGCCTCTCTCCGTAGTCTTGAGATGCATTTCCTAGTGACTAATGATGTTGAGCATTTTTTTGTGAGCTTATCGTCCATTCATGTCGTTTCTTTGGAGAAATGTCTATTTTAGTCCTTTGGCCATTTTTACGTTGGATTGATTTTCTTGTTGAGTTGCAGTTCTTCGTATCTTCTGAATATTAACCCCTTATCACAGGAACGATTTGTAGATATTTTCTCATTCAGGGTTGTTGCCTTTTCTTTTTTTCTTTTTTTTTTTTTTTAATTACTTAATCAATTGTATTTGTTGTTGTTATTTTTTAATTTGACCAGAAAGAGACAGAGAGAAAGGGAACGTGAGAAATCAAGCTGCCGGGTCCAGGACTTGAACCTACGGTTGGCCATGTGGGAGTTTAGTGTACCAATCACCATGCCATCTGCCAGCCCCCAACCTTTTCATTTTGTTAATAGTATCCCTCAATGCTCAAAAGTTTAAGACATGGCCCGCTGGTAGCATGGTGTGTAGGGCAGCAGGGTCCCTCATGGCCAACTATCCAGTTTGAGTCCCCAGACCCAGAAGCCTGAAAAACACACCAGGTGTGTGTGCATTCGTGCCAAAATTCTGAATGGAGAAAGGAGGAGAAGGGATGGTAACATGGCCATCCCCCTGGGGACTGCTTTCTCACTTTCCCTCTCTTTCTGTGTCTCTCTCAGGCAAGTGCATGTTCCCTATAGCAAAATTTAAAAATAAAATCAGGGCCAGCAGGTGGTGTGGTGGTTAAGGTGCTGGACACTCCCATACAGGTAACCAAGGTTCAAGTCCTGGACCTGGTGACTTGCTTTCTCTCTCCCCCCCCCAGTCAAATTAAAATAGATGAATGAATAAATAAAATTAAATAATTCTTTTTAAAAAAATATATAAATAAAAGTTTAGGGCCAGCCATGGTGGTTAAGGCCATTGGCCATCTGTACAGTTCAAGTCTTAGACCTAGCAGTTTGAAAAGCACGCCAGGCCTGGGAACCAGCAGTTAGCATAATGGCTATGTCGCTGGACTCCCACGTAGTCGACCGTGGTTCGTGTCCCGGACCCGGTGGCTTAAAACTCACGCCGGGCACGTGTGCGTGCGTGCCCAAGATCCCGAGAGGAGAATGGAGGAGAAGGGATTGCAGCGTGACCATCCCCCCTGGGGGGGGATTTCTCGCTTTCTGTCTCTATGTGTCTCTCTGTCTGGCAAGCGCACGCGCCCTACAGTGAAAATCTCTCAAAAAAAAAAAAAAAGCACGCCAGGCCTCTGTGTGTGCGTGTGTGTGTGTGCGCGTGCATGCCTGCCTGACTGAAGTCCTGAGAGGAGAATGGAGGAGAAAGGATGGTTGCGTGGCCATCCACCCAGAGGATGTGTTTTCACTTTCTTTCTCTCGCTCTCTCTGGCCAGTGCATGTGCCCTATATCAAATAAAATTAGGGAGGGGAGTGTGGAGGACCAGCAGGTGGTGTAATGATTACGTTACTGGACTTCCACGTAATCCACCATGGTTTGAGTCCCATACTAGTAACTTCACGCCGGGCATGTGTGCGTGCGTGCCCAAGATCCCGAGAGGAGAATGGAGGAGAAGGGATTGTGGCGTGGCCATCCCCCCCAGAAGTGATTTCTCGCTTTCTGTCTCTCTCTGTCTGGCTTTATGGCGAGCGCACGCGCCCTATAGCAAAAAAATCTCTCAAAAAAAAAGAAACAAAGAAAAAAAACCTTCATTTAACCTTGGTGGTTGTTGATTCGATTACACTCTACAACATGAGTTTTACAGTTTTAGCGCTTACATTGAGCTTTTCTCCTTTTTGAGTTACTTTTTGTCGACCCTCTAAGGTAAGGGTCTAACTTCATTCTTTTGCTCATGGAAATCCAGTTCTCCCAGTACCATTTGTTGAAGAGGTTCTTTCCCCATTGAATGGGGAAAAGAGACCATTGC